TATGGGGTGAAATGTGAGATGCATTTTGAAAGCGAGCAGTGATCAGGAACTGACTGGTATGTGTGGCAATGTGTTCTTGGCAGTCTCTCTGACCTGGTCAAACACCCGTTCCTCACCACCATTTGACAATTCGATCCATTTTTAGATGTAACCTCGAGTATGGTGAAAGACCCAGCGGACGTCTTGGACAGGCAAAAATGCCTTGACGCTCTGGCTGCCCTACGCCACGCTAAGTGGTTCCAGGTTCGGAACATCATTTTACTTTCTTCTTGTAGCCTTATGAGATGTATTCCTTTTTATTTGTTCATTTAAGTTGTTTAAGTCTTTTTGTTTTTAAATTTTAAACCTCAAAGTTGATTTTTGGGAGGTAATTGTGATACAAGGATGCAGTATATAATTTGGAGATTATGGTACTAATTTTTTGCATTCTGTTTTTGTATACATGAGCTGATCTGATCCTAAAAAATTAAGCATCCTTGCATATTTGTCATTTATTCATAAGTCTTAGATTAAATACATAGCATGTAAAATTATTCCATAAGGCTGCAGAATACCTTTGCATAAAAGTGTCATCGATAAGAGCTTTCATGTTGAGCGTTTCTTTTTTTTTTTTTTTTTTTGTTAATGATTTTATTTTCTTGGGAATAGGGATTAAGAGGAAAGGAATATCTGATTAGTTTACTGTGTTGTTGCCATCTCTGCAAATACACAGGCAAAGTAAAGCGGATTTCCTTGACTGCTTCAGTTCCTATGCAACTACTCTTGCAAACTGATCTTTTGTAAAATGAAGTATATGTTTGTGAAGTATCTGACAACTGAGGTCAGGGTTTACAAGATTACCAGGGAGCCATTCCAAGTGAATCTTGCAAACTTTGAACTCGTACTTGTACTAATGGTGAGGTAAAATACTGCTGGAAATGGCAGCTTAAGAAAGCCAATTGGCCTAGCTATTTTTAATCCAATTATAAGCTTCCATTGTGAACAGTAGTGTTGCACCTCTCTCTGAGCTCCGCCATGTTGTATGACTGTATGTTTTTGTTCTTGTGCATTAACTAATCTTGACTTCACTGCACTGAAGGCTAGGGCTAATGGACTCCAGTCATGTGTGATTGTCATTCGAATACTACGTGACCTTTGTCAGCGAGTACCCACCTGGTCTGCCTTTCCTAGCTGGGTGAGTAACAATATCTGGTCATTAAACATTGGCACATGTTTTTGAGTTTTCTCTGATACATAGATGTACAGTGTTGGACACTTAAAAGTGCTGAGGGCAAAAACTGTTGGCAACAAAGGTTGATCGTCAATATTGTAGCAACGCATGAAGCACAACGAACACGGTTACTTTAAAACCAAGCAGCTTACTGCTGGTCAGCATGGCAAATTCGCATGACCACCTAAACCCATCATGAGATCTGCAGTTTTTGCCATCTCAAATTCACAGAACAATGGTAAAACATGATTGTCTGCTGTGCTTTTTTTTTTTTTTTTAAATGGCGTAGCTTTTATAACAGAGTATAAGTCCCATTAGCTGGCATTAACACAATACATAGACCTGCTTGTTGACATGAGTAAATTATTACCAAGCGAGTTTTTTCATGGATTGATTTAGTGTTTTAGTGCACTTATGTTCTTTTCCACTTAGCAGCCATCTTGATAACATGAGGCCTTTCCTACAGTTGAGTTTGTTATTTTAAGGAATTTTTTCCCCCTCCCCTATTTAATTTATTTTTTATATTGTCCCTGGTGTAGCTCAATCACATTTAATTTAACATGGCTTCCTTAACACTGTTGCTATAAAGGTTTTAAAGCAAAATCACTTTCAGTCCTGTTTAATCAATTTCATCATCCTTCACTTTTGATCTTATGAGGAAACTGCTCAAAATGCCATTTATTATGGTAAATTAAGTTACTGTTTAATTTAAGGCTATGGAGCTGCTGGTGGAGAAGGCCATCAGCAGTGCCTCTGGACCAATGAGCCCCGGAGATGCTCTTCGAAGAGGCTTTGAATGTATTTCCTCAGGCATTCTGCTGTCTGGTAAGATGCAGCACTCTGATAATGTCTTAAGACACGTTTTATGGAAATTGCATTGATTCTTAGGTCTGTGTAGGCATGTAGTCATGTACATTAGTAATCTAGCTTTTATACTGGTGTGAATTACTAAGAGTTCTTTTAATTTACTATCATCTTGGGAATCTAGATGCTCAATTTAACACTCCCTGGCTTTTGTGCATTTCTGTGCAATGCAGGTGCTCCAGGATTGATAGACCCCTGTGAGAAGAATCCAACAGATACACTGGCTACCATGGAAGAGCAGCAGAGAGAGGACATTACATCAAGCGCTCAGGTAATGGACACAGTAACTGCTTTAAGAATGTGTTAATGTGACTTAATGTCTTGCAGTGACTGTATTTAAAATTTTCAAACTCTTTTCGATAATTGTGTAATTATGCATGCTGTTTTTATGGCCTCCTGTTAATCGAGCGTATTTTCAATTTATGTATTGACCGGCCACTTTCTCCACAGTTTGCCTTGAGGCTGCTGGCGTTCCGTCAGATTCACAAGGTTCTGGGTATGGACCCCTTGCCCCAGATGAACTCGCGCTTCAACGTACGGAATAACCGCAAGAGGCGACGTGACAACAGCGACGGGACCGATGGATTTGAAGCTGAAGGGAAGAAAGACAAGAAGGACTACGAGGGGTTCTGAAGTGCACTACAGTACAACTAGCCCTGCTCTCCCTGCGCCCATTATAAATCCTGTTCATTCCAGGAATACGAAATGTTGTTTCTTTTGACCTCTGTGCATGCTGATTACTACTCATTAAGTTCTGTTTTTAAGATCTGCTAAAGACCTAATGAAGGCCACTTGGGGAAATGCCAGGCTTAATTTCCTTGACGCATAGACTGTAGTCCATCTCTGTTGTTTAGTCTGGTGTCTTGGTTTAAAGATTTGAGATGCGCACAAACCTGAAAAATTAAGCCTAAAGTTCATGCTGCATTCAGCACATTGGATGTAATCTTTCACCATCTTCAGATCTCTTACGAGTTTCAGGCTAGGCATTTGTAAAAGTCTGAGCTGCGTACTTGTCAGTGTGGAACAGATTCTTTCTTCAAGTATATCTTATCCTTCCAGTCACACATGTAAAGTAACTTGGTCAATGGCTTTCTTGGCTTTGCAATAAATTGTTTAGGTGTTTTTGTAACTTCTGTTTAGAGACATTCCTCTTAAAACCACAAGATCGAAGATAAAATGATTGATTTTTGCGATGCATTTGTCCTGTTGTGATGAATGTGACGTTGACTGGACGTGGATTTATACAAGCATGTATTTTCCATTGCTAGTGCATTCTGAAGGCTGGGATGGCTTTTAACCATTTGTAAATGTACGTCAATGAAACCTCTTTAGAACCTTTTTCCTTCTATATGCTTAATGTAAGGCTGCACTTGTCCCAAAGTTAGGCTGTAAGTGTGCTCCGATATTCACAGGCCTCTGTGGTTTAGCTGTATCACGTTTCTGAAGACACTTGACTATTGAACTCAGACCTGGGCTGTATACCATAAGTATCTATCAGTTGTCTCTGTACGTTTAATAGGGAATCTTGAGTTACCAGTCCATTTCAGATCAGTTGTTCACACAGGGAAGTATTCAGAGCAGTAAACATTTTGTATTTTAAGGTCAAAGACTTTTTTTGTTGTTTTTTTCCCCTTTATACCCAGGTCTGCCTGTGTTTTGTGTTCATAATATTGTAAACCCTAAATGTATCTTTAAATGTGATCATATAACTATGATCTAATATATGATAATTTACTAAGCCTGTATCTAATCTTGCAATAGATCTTCAGAAACAAATGCCTGTATGGTTTTAAAGCACAGGAATGTTGTTTATGTTCTTTGTTTTTAATGGATTTTGTTTTACTGGTTTATAGATGCATAGTTGCTTGCCCTAATTTTGGTTTCTGATTCGAGGTTGTTGAATATCTATTGAAGAACATGGGAGGGACACTAATGACATATCTGTGTTGTAACTGCAGATTGATGTAGACTTACCCTTTGATGCTTGTCATTCAATGTCAAGGTACTACTGCATTACAATGCGTATAATAAAGACATTTCTAGAATGATGTAATTAGTTTTCTTTTTTCTTTAAAAAAAACATACTTTACATTTATTTCAGTTATACCTAATATAGAGTCATGTTTAACTTGGAGATTTAAGTGAAGTGAAGTGAAAGTGACATGTGGCCAAGTATGGTTACCCATACTAGGAATTAGTGCTCTGCATTTATCCCATCCTAAGTGCACACACACACACAGCAGTGAACACACACACCCGGAGCAGTGGGCAGCGCGCCCGGGGAGCAGTCGGGGGCTCAGTGCCTTGCTCAAGGGCACCTCAGTCATGGTATTGAAGGTGGAAGAGAGTGCTGTACATTCACTCCCCCCACCTACAATTCCTGCCGGACCTGAGACTCGAACTCGCAACCTTTAGGTTACAAGTCCGACTCTCTAACCATTAGGCCACGACTTCCCGCGATTTAGTTTTGTTTAATGCTATCAAAGAGCTTTGATAATTCACTGATTAAGAATTCAAGTCCAGTTATTTGTGCATGTTACTTCTAGATTGTCTCACAAGTGTTTGATTGTCTTTTCTATTGTTTATGCTAATAAGGAAATACTTTAGTCTGTGCACAAATAAGGAAATCGCAAGACGTGCAACCATAAAGCAAAGAAAAAAACTTAAAAGTGCAGTTGTAGTCCGTAGCTACATAAACACAAACCCCTTCTCACTTCAGGGCGTAGGCTATTTTAATACGACTGCTTATGGGTTCGGCAATGAGGAAGAGCTTGTGATTGACAGCCGCGTCAACCAATGAGCGATAAGCGACTTGCGCTGACCAGCTCAGAAAATGGACAGTTTGTCCATTAAGAACCAATGACGTAGAATGGGCGCGGTTTGCTGTCAGAGCAGGTTTGTCTTCCAACCAAAGGGAATTGCGCTGTAGAAAGAGAGGTGGAGGGAGAGGAAGGTCGGGCAGCTCGAGCTCTCCCGGATTTCCACCTGACTGCTCGGGAAGCGGGACACTGGGACAGGCAAAATGTTGAGTTTGGGGAGCGGAGGAGCGAAGCCTACTAAACCGTCGTTTGTGTCTTATGTTACACCCGAGGTAAGCGAAAGCTTTCGTGCAGCATTATACTTGCGTTGTTTTCAAAACAGCCCAGAGACGCTGAATTGAACTAAAAGAATAGTTTAAACCGCGGATAGTCATGCACTGGGCGGGGTTAGTAAGTCCCTTGTTGATGTTGACATTGTCGACTAGTTCCAAGTTTAGACAAACAGGGAAATCTCAGTTTTGTGTGCGTTTCATGGGGAAAATGCATTCAAAGAGCAACAGCGATTTTTCATTCACTTAAGTTACACCTCGAAGTTGAAAGTCTTCGGTTTGACGACTGAAATATAAGTTAGTTTTCTAGCCTTGCCAGAAGTCCTCAACTTTACAAGGTAGTCTGCTTGGATAGAGGTTGTAATCCAGGTTATTTAATGATTTTTCTGTTTATTGTCTCTGACATGTGATGTGTTTGAAGTCCATTCATCGTTATGCCTTAAACTTTAACTTGCATCTAGTGTTGATACATGTGCGCGCTCGCGCATAGATGTCATGGGTTGTGTGTCATGACCCACTGATGGACGATAGAGTTAATGTTCTTATTGTTCATTAAAGAAAGCATGATGGAAAGAATGGTTGTACTCAATGTAGAAGCAACATGAAGATGTAAACCACTGCTTTCCATTTTATTCAAGAGATTAGTGGATAAAAACATTAAAAGACAAAAAAAAAAGTTTAAAATCTGCACGATTTTCCCTATTCTGTGGAGCACAAAATGAGAAGTTAGTTCATTTTGTGTAGCTCTAAACAGTAGAGCATGATGCTTGCAACGCCAAGGTCATGGGTTCGATTCTTAGGGAATGCATGAGCCGGAAGCATCTGCCAAATACGTAATGTAAGTGTTTTAGGCAGAATGACAGTTTCAGTCGCTGTTCAATTTTATTGTATTAAAAAAAATGCAGTGAAAATGAGTGATGATTGAGGCTGCCTAGCATCTCCGCCAAGAAAGGAAGTTATGCCGGGTTGGAACAACATGGGGGTGAGTAAATTCTGATGAGCTATCCTGTTAAATGAATACAGGAAGATCTGTGTCCGCCGTTGAATATAAACTACTTAGACTAGTCCAAAACGTTAGTCTAATTTTTTCTTCAGGAACATTTTCAAGTCAATTTGCATAAGTTGGTCAAGCCAGTTCTTAAAGGGGGCATAACACACAGTTTCACCCAATCTCATGTTAATCTTGAGTACCTATAGAGTAGTACTGCATCCTTCATATCTACAAACTCTGAATGTATGAAACAGCATTGTACCCCCCCCCTTTAAGACTCAGTCTTAACCATAGACATAGTATGTATGTTTATGCAACTGACCTCTGGGCCCAGTTGCATAAACGTAGCCTCTATGTTAAGACAGTGTCTTAAGTACTAGTCTGACCAACTAGCAGTTAACCAAAGGGTAATCAGTCTTATTTTTTGGATTCAACTTAGACTAATGTACATTTTTATTTAAGTAAATAAAAAAAAAATATGACCTGCCTTAAAGAAAAAATTAGCTGACTAACTTTTAAGACTAGTCTAAACCTTTTATGCAACCGGCCCCTGGTCTTATGTGAAGAGTTCAGCTGATTCCCACTCTGAAGATCCAAACCAGGGGGCTTGGGCGGATCTTACAGCACTCTACCCTCATTTTTGTTGGATTGATATTAGCGAAGACCCACTGTGATCCATATTTATGTCTGGCAAAATTGACATAAACGGAAAGACCATGTGTTTTTAATGTCTCTGGTTTCAAAAGCTAATTTTAAGAGAATGTGTTCACCCCCAGGAAGTCATTAGGGAAAGGAGTGTCCCAAATACTTGGGTCTGTTTGTGAAGTTTTGGCTGTCGTGTTTTGCAGCTGGCCTCATAGTAGCCAGGATGCTTGATGACTTCCTTTAATTTATTTATCCTGTTTGTTTTAACTGAACTTCCACAGTTTTTACACATTGCCATTAGTTTATTGATTTTGCTGTTTTCTAAAACCTCTTTTATCTGTTTGAACCAGTAACAAGAGAAGTAACCTGATTTAAATTTTAAAGTTGCAAAGCTGTCTTATGGATATCACAGGGCTACTGCTAAAATTCATGGGCAAAATTATTCTGGGTAGAGTGTCTTAGTCGGCTGATTTTGTTCCAGTTCTCATTATATTACTTGTATATTACACTAAAATAAAATGTTACTAAATCAAATGTTAAAGGGATTGTCTACCAAAAAATGGGAAAAAAGTCATTTACCTATCTGTTGTCATTCCAAACCTGTATGGCTTTTTTTTCCTCATCTGTAAAATATAAAAGAGGATATTTTTTGTCCATACAGTCAGTGGATGTCACTGGACACCAAAACTGTTTAGTAGGGGTGCTCCGATCAGGATTTTTGAGGCCGATCACAGAAAGCAGTATCTACCGATACCGATACCAATCTTTTTAAAGCCTTCTTTTTATAATTTATAACTATTTATAGTGATACTCCTATCAGGATTTTTAGACATTTATTCAGGGCCTGAATTTCATTTTTGAAAATGGGGGTAATTTTCCCTCTTAGGTGTCTCTTGTGAGAGGAGAAGCAGCACGGACTGTGCTTTCACACAGGAGTCCACTACTGATCCGTGGCTGTTTACCACAAACACAACATTTATCCATTAGTTTGATTTCAAACGTGTCAATCCATGTTCATATTTACTGCAAACAATGCGCTGGTACTTTAATTCAGCGTTTGCAGCGCAACAATAGACTCGGTGCGGAAATTATCTTCTGCACTGCTGCAGACGCACCGCTCGTGGAATGCTCTGCTGGACCGCATCCGTGCGCAGTGTGCACGCTTTGTTAATCCGTTAACCTGAGCGCGGAAAAAATGCGCACCGCAAACGGAGTAATGTGAACCTGGCATTATGTGTGTGCACTGCGAGTGTGCATGAGTGCACGGTCTTCAGGAGAGCGCGCGAGCGCTGAATGGTTAAACACTGGCAAGAATTAAAAAGTAATGCAATTTATAAACTTTAGTGAAGTGACAATTCCTGTGTCAACTGTGCAGCGTGCAGCTCGCTTATAGATAGATGTGTGGTGATTTGAAGCCGTTTGCATATTTTGATAGATAAAGAGAGCTCGCGCGGTGATTCACTCACGCTGTTTGTGAAGTTACGTCTCACACAAGGTTTTCAAATTACTTTATAAGTTATTTAATGAAGAAATATGAAGGTGAGTACCTCACCTTCAGCATTATAATTATTTTACCTGCACCGGAAAAAGACTGAGACGGTGCCTCTGCATGTCTTGCCAAACCTCTCACGGCAGCGTCATCAGCTTGAGATCGGCCTTTTTAGAGACAGCCGATCAATAATCCCAAAGCGATTATTGGCCGATAGTGATCGGTAGCGGATCAAT